GAATTTCTGTGGTAACCACCGTCTTATATGTAGCCGAACTTGTAGATCAAACTTAATTTCGACTTTCTGCATTACGTGAGGAAGAGATGCCAAAACGTAATCTAGAATATGGTTTTCAACACTTCATTGTACTTCTGTCAGATTATCCATCTCCTCAAATTGTGTAGACCTGACACTGCTAGAATTACACTTTTGACATTTCAAGTAACCTCACTTACTTTTTCCGGTTTGCCAGTTGCCTTTTCGTTCATATAAAAGTATGATACTAGAGATCCATTTGGCATTTGCAACAAAAGGTCTGCCATGCCACGTTTTTTATCTGATGGGGATGCTAAGATCTTATTAGAAATCCTTAGATACCTTTTAAGATGTTTTGATCTCAGATTTTCTTCGCTAGATACTAAAGAATCAGTTGATTCGGTCACCTTGGGCTCAAATACTGACGCAAACATGCCGCCTGTACATATTTAGATCTCATTAGATTTCCTTGGATTGCCTCTGAAATTAGGATTGGATTACTTTAGATTTCCTTGAAGTACCTTCTCGTCAATACTGAGACAGACGTAATTTGCATCTTGTACTTGTACCTTCTCAGACACACAGCTTATTTGTAAGTAGTGTAATCTTAATTTAATCTCGTTTGTAGACCGCTGGTTTGTTAGCATCAAAAACATGGAGATCTTGATGCAAAATCTCTGAAATAAAGGAATTTCCTCATTTCTATAGTCTGAATAAGAAAAACGTCGTACGCCAATGATAAGGTGACATTTCCTTGCACGGAGCGAGCTCCAGGCGCACCGACTTTGCCGGAAAAGTGTAGGGCGTACCACAGAGAAACCGATTTCTCAATGGGTGGAATCCTGTCTGCTTGCACAATTAAAAAAAATATTTTATTTCAACCTTATACGTGACCATGAATCAAGTTAAAAAATTTAACAGAATTTGTGCTCAAAAAGCAAACGTTATTTTTTATACCGGATGTCTCAAATTCGACCCTCACCATTAGGATCTCTGAGACGGTACGGAACACGAAGTCACTTAAATGGGAGCAAAGTTGCCTATTTAGGTAACTAACAAAATTCCTCTTAGATAGTGTGAAAAGTTAAAGTACTCTTGGAGAGAGAAAAAAAATCTATTTATCCTGGAATCTTTTTAATTTATTCCTGTCTTTATTTGTAGTGGCATTTTAAAATAAATTGAAAATTAACATTGCCTTTTTCTCCTCTACAAGATGGCATAATTAGAATTTTTATATGACGTTACGGCTCTTGGCGTCCAGTATCAACTCTATTTTTTCACATTGGATTATTACGCATTTAAATATAGTCTTCAATTCTTATTTTGAAAATAACGTATCGTATACCAGCTCATACCTCAAACATAGTAGCAGAGTTTGAAAGACTGAGAAGAAAGGAAATAAATCAAGCATTGAGCAATGTACAGAGAAGGGTCAGGCTTTGCCTGTAAAATAACAGATGACATTTTAAACATCTGCTATGATTTACCTCCGCTTATTTATGATTATTATTGCAATTACAATAAAGGTTTTCATTTTGCGTTGAGATTTTATCATATAGGTATATCATCCAACAACAAATTCTTGGCCAACAAAGGAAACGTATTACTGAATTTAGGACTAAAAAGTCTATTTAAATGTACCAAATTCCAATATAACGTCCACATAAAAAACAAAGTTGGTGATGGAAGTCGAAAGAAGAAACCTCAAGTTGAAAATTTGACTTCGCCACCTTGCAGAGGAGAATAACTAACAACGAAACTAAACGTCATATTAAAATTCTAAATATATCATCTTGTATAGGACAAAAATTGGAAATGTCAATGTGCGATTTACTTTGAAATCCCAATACAAGTAGTCATGAAGAAAATAAAACGATTTTAAGAAAATCGGTTTTTACCGTTTAAGCTGCATTTTCTTAATTACCTAAATACGCAGCTTTTTTCCAATTTATGTTACTTCATATCTCTGAAAGTTTCAGAGATCGAATTTGGTAAATCAATTATTTGCATATTTGAATTTTTAGTAATAAATTCTCCTTGCACCTGCCGAATCGAACGATTCATTGAACTGAGCCGAATATCCAGTCTCTCCCCTGGACATCTTCGAAGTTGTTTATTTAACGACCGACAACACCGACTGTCGGCACGGTTTATGGCAGTAAATTAGAATTTTCCTGTTGAAATAACCGTAGAAACCCATATACGGCATAATGACCAGTGCGGCGAATGTGGGGATGCTGTGCGGACAAGATATAAATACACTGTTTCATTTTGAAATATGGAGACTTTAACTGTGTATTCGAGTTAGATATTTTGGGTTCATTACCGACCATTCAAGTACGAAAGGCAGTAAAAGTGGAGTGAAGTTATATGACATTACAGTCGGGAAATGAATGTTCTAGCAGCTATTGTAATTTTATATCTTCCTTCAAGTATAATTCTTAGTTATACTCTCACGAGTTTGATGATCCTGGAAATGTTACCCAGTACTCCCACGTCTTTCCTATTCATTAGCTTCTCTCAGTCAGTACTTCATTTATTCCCGTCACTCTGTTGCACTTTTTTTGGTACATAGCAAGAGAGATCTTCATCCCTGATATCAATCGAGAGTCATGGCAGATTTGGCAAATATCAAACTATGCCGCATTTTTGTATCTAAAGCTTGCTTATTATATCAGCAACTAAGTAAGCGCCTAACGTCATACCCAGAGCGGCATATATGTGCATAAAAATATGTACCTGCTTAATTAATGCTGATGCATATCAAAAACACCTTAGGATATAGATTGAAGTAAAAAAAAATGAAAATAAAAAAAAAGTTGCCCAAATCTTGGGTTGAAGTGTGTACTTCCGGTTTAACACCTTATTTTTTTTAATTTTAAGGCACAGAAAATATCATATCCTGATATAATTCTTGTCAATCGGAAAAAATCCCCCGAAAAGATCCCAATTTCAAACACTCGAAGCCCGTAACTTAAAAAACGTGTTTTCTCTTTTACACCTACTAGATGTTCGAACAAACCCAATATGGATGAATTTCAAAACACCTATTTTTTCGACATATATGAATGATCTTGAACCTTGTTTTGACAGTCATCTGAAGAGACCGAACCATACTGTAGCTGTATGAAAAATGCATAGTGATAGTATTATTGTTTAAAATGTCAAGAGCATTGTTATTAAATGTTGAACGTTAATGTCCAAACATACCAAGATAATAGATTGTTCGACTTTTGTTTTCGAAAGCAGAGATGTCCCGAACTTGCAGCTGCTTAGTACGTGTAAAAGCGGTGAAACATGCAAGACTTGTGTAAGAAATTAGGAGGACGTGGTTGTCATTGTATTGTTTCGTACATAGAAGAATTGCCTACACCGGGGAGAAATTTTAGTCTTACATCATAAAAGGTATTTTTTGATTGTGCATCGCTGTGTGGCTATGGGATAAAAAGGGTCTATGTGAGCCGTCAATATCTAACTGCAGAAGAGACAGAAGGGGCACGGAAAGTGGCCGTCACGGACGCCTGTGGTTGGAAGTTATATTGTTAACGTCTGATACTGGAAGAGAGCATTGGACGCCGTCAGTTCAAATAGTGTTGAAATGATAACGCTGGATAAATGGCATATACCTTTAACAGAAAAGCGATTACAAATATATGTAGTTCAATAGATGGGAATTGAGTTTTAATAGAAAACGTGTTATTTTAGTAACAATATCTTTCTGAATTTTGAGCAGAAGTTTTTTGCGGTTTTTCAGTTCCACAAAATTCTTAAAAGGCTAATAAAACATTTTCCTTCTTTTAAAGATCCTAGAATAATGGCAAACAGTTACGTTCAAAGTTCAAAAGTAAATGAAAGCAAAGATGTATCATACAGATAATAAAGAGCACGAGGGTGGTTTGAATAGTGTCGTTAGCTGCAAAGAAATTATCGCTTATGGTGGGGTGACTGGGAGGGCTTTTTTCAGATGGCGCTGCCACATGCTAGTCCTTAAAAGTATACATGGTCCCATGCTAGTCCTTAAAAGTATACAAGTGTATTTATCATCAGTGGTGTACTAATAATCTCTAATCTGTGCTTTTCCGTAAGAGAGGCTGTAAATCACTATACACCCTTTGATAAGAAAGTTGCTTTATAGGTCTTGATCTTTGATCGCATTTAAATTATAAACACTTTGTGTCCTGCAGATTATAAAAAGTATAGGTGGACGAAACACTCAAAATATGTATTCTACAGAGACATTCAATTTTTGAAAGCACGAAAAGGATAAAAAGAAGCCTATTGCCCAGAATATTCACCGCAATTTGAAATACCGCAAGAGGCAGAATAACGAAAGCACAAACCACCTCGTTAGAGATCCCTGTATCAAAATTCCGGTGCATTGACTCTTCCCACCATTAACTCAATATGAGATGCGCTAGTTGCATAGGGCAGAATAGTACAGTCGTTTTAGTAAGTCGCGTAAAAATCGATAATGTATCCTACTTTTCTCAAACAACTGTCTAGCAGAAGACAGCATAAAAAAGCTCAGAGTCAGGAAATGATGTTAGTATCATTGGCCAGTAAAAACTAAAGCAAAGTAGAAAGCAAAACAAGTGGCTCAGTTTCCTGAAGAGATAAAAGTATTTACAATCCTTTTTGTAAGACGACGCGTTGAAAGGAAACCCAGATTGTCAAATTTCATGAAAGTAATTCGGGCGATCGCGGATTATTTTTCGCCGTCTTGCCTCTTCGACTATGTTATACGCATTCACGTCGTAATCCATAAACATGTTTAGCTTTAATTTATCTTTATCAATAACTTGAACGAATTTGTAGATTTTTGAATAAATGCCAAAGTCTGTATCCACAAACGTCAAGTATTGCTATTTAACCACAGCCTTTCTAGTTAACTCATAGATGGTTTTCTGGTTAAAGTTAACTACCGTTTTACGAAAAACACACTGATAAACGCACTTTGGTAGACCTAATTGCACTGAACTACGGAAGCAATCGGCATGCTTTCAGATATGAGATGCGCTCGTTGCTGGTCATGGCTGCGCGCTGGTTTATGAAGAGCGTGCACAGAGCGTTTTTCTTTTTGGTTAGTCATCGTAATTGCCCGTCCAATTAACCGAGGATTAAACGCTAAATTGTTTAATGAAATCTAGTTGGCAGGAAAGGACGGTGGCAGAGGCACAAGTGGATCCGTCGTTGTCGTGGCTGTCGACGTCTACCTCTGAATTACAAAATGCTCGAATAAATTAATTAATCGTGGCAGAGCTGAATGCATTAGCGGTAAGACTTTGGCTAATTCTTCTTCTGCATTGTATCCGGTTGAATTTTTGTTTGCTTTAAGGCTTCCCCCAACCACGCTTTTTGTCCCACATCAATGAGTTTCAGTATTACATGCACTTCATTTTCTATCTCATATGAAAGGAAACCGAAGGGGCATAAACTCTTACTATAATATCAACTATTGAGTCTGTATGTATAGTAACCGATGAATTAAACAATCGTAAGAGCAGGATGGAAGAGAAGAAAGAGAAAAGATGGGATACGTTCCTTTGGGAAAAAAGGATAATTGTTATCATTGGAATGTTCGAACAAACATTACAGAATTCTGGTGTTTTTGAGGTACTGAACTCAAACATAAAGCAAAACAGTTGCATTTTTACGAAGGTTGTAACTGCTGTGCTGTATTAGATTGGTCTTACTCAGGACATACACTATATGCGCTACCAATTCATAATGATCTCTCTGCATTAATTCATTTTGATCTGTAACTATAAAAAACGCGTAAAATAAGGGGGATTGGTTTTATGCTAGAATGCATAGAATTCCAACTTTTTTTAACATCACGTTAACAGGGAAATACCTATATAAAATAAATGTTTATCATTTTAGAAAATGCGAGCTATTGAGCTAAATAGTATGAACATGAGATAAATCACCAAATATCAAGGCAGTAGAAACATTTTTCCATGTGCCACTAAAACGACCGAAATATTTATTCACAACCTTATCGCTAATCGTCTACTCCAAACATGTATAATACAGTTGTTGTATATAATGAATATAATTATGAAAAGATTAAATTGACCAGCAAAATGAGATCGATTATATTATAATATCTTAATTTGTAGCAGAACATATCGCATTATCTTAAAAATGACAATTTAGTAATTATATTGATGAGAGTGGCCATTTGCTTATAAGGCAAAGGTTATCAGGCTGCGGATAATGTATCTTTGTTGTTACCGTTTTGAATGAAGATCATCAGATACGCTGCAATAAAGTTACAAAGACCTATTTATAGCAGTAGGTTGTTATTGCCAATTTACCATGTAATTTTATAGGTTGTTTCCACTTTACGGCCAAACGTTTCTGCCGGTGGTAGTTAAATATCGGTCTAGAATTGCTGCAGTTTCTTTAATCGATTTGTATACACTGTTTCAAAACGCAGGTGTAATAAAACTCAATTTGGGGCAATTGTAGTTTAGTCATTTAAAGGTACGCCGTTTCATTTACGACGAAGCTAGGTTGTTGATTAGATACTACAAAGTTGCCTCAAAAGTTAGTATTCTTAAGGTCTTTGTACACTATCGTAACGACATTCGTATGGAAAAAAACGCGAATACCACCCAGAACTGTATTCGCATCACACCGTATAATTGTTATAGACTTAAATGTTGCAAATGCGTTGTTTTGCATCTGAAACGCGAGAAATACTTCTTCAACATCTAAAGGGAACCATGTTGTTTGTTCTATGAGAAAATAAGGCACAACAGTTTGGCGTTGAGATGGCAAAGCAGAACATCTGCGCGTTCGACACCTAACAACAAACAACGAGGAAAAACTTGTATAAAAAGCTCATGGTCCATTAGTTATGTTGGAGAATTAGATCTTTCTTTCAAGGAAATTAAAAAAAATTGGGTCACAGTCCACAGAAGATCTAGAAAGATAACTGTTGTTAACTTTTTTATAGGCTGATTCCTTTACCTTCCTTTTGTAATTGTTGTCCTCTTCACGTAGTATTGAGACTTCGTCCCATTTTAACTCATATCCTGTTTCCGATAAATGCTCGCAAGGTCATGGTCAAGGTCATATTCAGACGTAGAATTCCCTCTTCCCCCCTCTTTTCACCACCAGTGTAAAAGGGGGGTTCTGATTGACCTTGCAATGACTAAGGATCATAGTGAGGATCATGGTCTAGGTCATAATCAATTTGACCCTCAAAACCTTTCAGCTTTTGCCTTGAACTTTTTCCTAGGATGCGCAATTTTCGAAATATTTGGGAGGGGAGATTGAAATGGGACATCCTATATGTGTGGCATAGAGCAAAGATGTCTAGAAAGTTATGAATATTTCACATTTGAACCTCGGTGAAATAATTTTTATGTGTTGTGAAGAACGAAATAGAGAAAAACATGTACAATTAAAACGCTACATACTTTTAAGCTGATTGATCTTTTTATCAGTAAATATGTTCCATTTACACATAGATAAGGAACTATTTACTATTATAACCATTTTTCAAATCATCTCTCGTTCTCGGATAATCTTGACATTGTCGCACATCTGTTATGCGCTTTTATGGTTTATTTACCGCAGATAAGCCGAATCATAAACAATGACGTAAGTTTCGTGATAACACTTCCTGCAGAGACTAAACATTTATACGGCCGCTATACACCAAGTACAGTCATTTATTTGATCTCACTTGACGACATCTACTCGAGCATATAGATACACACCCACGTGAGCTTTTCTGAATTGTGAAACCTCAAAAGTTGTATCAACAAAGTCCTGGAGACATGCAACACTAAAGTAATTCTTTTAACATCTGTGGTGTTTTTTACCGGTCAAGACAGCTAAGACATCGACATAACATAATCCGATGTATCTACCTGTAGCTTTTAAGGAAATTTGTTTCTTTGTTGAAAAAAATACCTTGTCTGTCTATAAATGTGATGAATCACAGTCCCTTTTCTATCGTATAGGAAGTATCTTATTGTGCCTAGATACCGTCAATAGGTTAGTGATAACTATACTTCTGCATATTTTGCATCTCTTAGTTTCGTAGATACCAGAACAGTATAACAATGAAAGGGTAATAGAAAAGCGTGGGAGTGCATAATCCAATAATTGAAATTGCTGTAATACGATATGCTAACTTTCTAACTAGATTGTCTTTTTTCCTGTAGTGACGGGACATAATTCTATTATAACCTCATACCTTTATAATCGGTCAATCCTGGGGCGATTTTAGAGGCGATTTCGCTATCTACTTGCTTGAAGACAGACACTTATAGCTTTTCCTCATAGACGTACATTGAGCGCGATAGGAACCAAATATAAGTTTTCATTTAGTTCAGTTTGCATAAAAAGTATAATACGAAACATATGTATAGTATAGTTTTTAATTGTAATGCTTACCACATTATTAGTAGATAATTTTTACTTGACGCTACCCACTTGCTACAGTAATTTGGCTTTATGAGTGATGTTCACATTACCTAGTAGTTAGTCATAGTGTTAATTGTTTCAAAATAACGGTTATTCGATACAGACATACAATATAAGCTATGCCGAATAAATTTATTACAGTGAATTATTCAGGAGATACTGATGGTATGATTAATAAAACCACACTCTCAAATTGCTTCTGTGGTACATATTTGGGATGTTTGAGGTATATTCTGGGTCACAAAAGCTATATTTGTCGCTGTAATTCCATCATTTGCTTCGTGGTTATTTGAGTTTTCACGACGCCATGACTGAAGCTCACCGATTTCCAATGTAAGGTATCGTCTGTATATCATATAAGTAGTTAGCAAACTGGCATGATCTTTGGGACCGTTCTTACCCAGAACAACTTGCAACCGCAACTCCGCGTGGCACATGTATTCAAATAAAAGCGTTCACACCAAACATACGGCAAAGTGGCCAGTTGTTCAACAGCTGCCGACACTGCCGTCGCCGTCAGCTTTGATACTTTGCTAAATATGTTTCTTATAGGTACAAGTTTTCTTTTAATCGTGACTTCCAAATACCAATATAGCTTATATTCATTCCGCCTGCTTTATAGTATGTAGACACTGCTTATATTTATAAATTCAAGACGAGAACGGCACTGCTTGATAGTGCCTTAGAAGATTTTGATATTTTAGTGCTTCCATTATTCTGGTCACAATATTAACTGCAACCGTTGATGTTGTGATGCAAGATGGTGAGCAACTTGGGACCATAAGCTTATTCTAAATGCTGCATCTTCCATTCTCAATAGTTGGAATTATGTGATAGTAGTCTTATGTGATCCCACGGACGTCAATGTTTGTTTCTTAGAATACCAATTTTCCAATCCGCAAGTGTTTACACAGATTACACGCCTCACGAAGACAACTATTACTTTTTGCTCCAGCTTCAGCTAGCATATTAAATTTTATTATGAGCTGTTTTTACCCGGCGCCGTAATGTGTTATTTGCCTTTGCTTGTTTTATGGGTTCTTATTTGTTGGCGCTTTGAGGTGGCTTGCCAATGGTTGTCTACGGTAATTGCGAAAGATTGCCTTTCAATTTGCAAAATAAGATACACGCTGATACGTGTCGGTAATATTATGCTTATGTTTTGTTCACGTTTTAGTGTCGGAGCGGAGGCAAGATACGATCTCGTTTACACCGATTTTCTTCCTCTCCGCCCGATGGCTTTTGCATGTAATTGCAAAGTTGAGTTTTTGTAACACCTCATCATTATGCTTAACACGAGGGAATCAGGAAAATTAAACACGCTTGAAGCACTGCCACATTCGCCAATCCATCCTACTATTAACGATTTGTTAGAATGATGATCACAAATATTACATATTACATGGTTACAGTTGCTTTTCTTATAGCTCGATGATCGTCCTACTTATTGTAAGATACTTTGAATCACAAAAAATAGGAATAATAGATACTTTCTAGAATACTAGAGGCCTATCTGTTAATGATTGTAGATAATTGGAGACATATCATGTTCCTACAATAATTTCAAAAGCATGTGCAAAACGGTTGCCTTAGGAAGATGGTATTTTTGAGAATTCTCGAGCTTCCATGCTTTTAGTGTAAGTTGGATGACTGTACATTGGACATTGGACGATCCTAGAAAATCGATGTCTTAAAAGTATCTTCCATGCTTCGAACAATAATTTGGTATACTGGTAAACAAACAGCAGCGCACAAGGTTCAAATTCGCGCTCTCCTAGTGATCATAAATGCCTGGGTAGACAAGGTGACAGCTGCCCATACTTGTTTTGACGCGAACTTAATGAAGTTTAAACAGATAATAGGCTCAGCTTTGTCATTAGTCAAAAAACTGCAAAAGATTGCTTTATAGGCTCACATCAAGGCACTTCGATACAATCGTGCGGCTGTGCGTATTAGCAGAAGATCAAGGCACACAGAACTTTCTTACAAATCTCGACTGTAGAGATAAGCCGATGTCGAGTCCAGGAACAAATAATAACGAAGCGGTTCGCAATGCCAGCACGGTGGAAAAGAGTAACCTTCCGCCGTTTAAGTACCAGAATGGAACGACTGTGTCCAGCTCAGAAGCTAAGGCGGAAGATCTGGCCAATATATTTGCTGCCATCTCTACCGTGGACGTAGCCCCCAGTGCCGGGTGCGGTCGATTCAAAAGGTTCCCTGCACTATGTGAAAGTAACCTTCAGGCATGAGACGTTGCTTGACTTCAACAGCGGTGCCTTCTCCAGTTCTTTTGCGTCTCCTCCAGATATCTTACGAATCTGGCACTTTCTCAGAAAACTGGAAATTTTTTCTGGTTCAGCCCATCTCCATGCCCCTCCCAAAAAAATGATTTAAGACCGACTTTCACAACTACAGGCCCAAAGGTCTGCTTTCTATTATAAGATGATGGAGGAGTGCATATATTGGAAGCTTCTGGAGTACCTTAATGGGTTCCAACACCAGCGATCCACGGGGGATCTCCTAGTTTACGTCACGGAACTGTGGAGTAAAATCATCCAAATGTATGATATCGTCACTCTTGATATCACTAAAGCGTTCAGTCAGCTAAGATGCTGCTCTCTTATAAAAACTTCCGTTCTATGGCCGCACAGAGAAACTTTGCTGATGGGCGGCTCCATGTGCTGGACAGGAACGCTAGTGAGAGGTCTATTGTCTAAAACACGGCGTATACATACATACACAGTAACGCGACTTCCTAAAAATTACGCTAAATTTTCGGGTGAACTTCTATGATAAAGAGAATCTTTGCAAATGGGTGGCTGGCCTCCTATATGGCCGCAAGATATCCGTCGTAATTGACGGGTTCTATTCTTCATCCCACAATGGCAACGCGGGTGTTTCCCAGGGATCGGTCGTGGCCCCGACATTCCTCTTACATATCAACGACCTCCTACCCTGTACGATCAATTCGATCCGCAGCTTTGCCGATGGCAGCCCTCGACATGCCAGAATTTAAGCCGATCTCTGCTGGTGAGCTGGAGAAAAGAATACTAGCAGTGAAGTGATCTCTGACGACAGACCTGGAGGTTATTACTGCGTAGGATTGCAACAATCTGGTCCGTTATAGTGCTTACAAAACACAGAACTGTACCTCGACTCATGCGATTTCGCTGGATGACCGAGCTCTACCAAAAAGCTATTCATTTTGGCTGGTCGGAGTAGAGATCACCGAGGACTTGACCTGGCACGAACATATATCGTCAAAATCGAGAGCCTCCGCGCTATGTGCCTGCTCGATAGACCCGCCTGAACTCGGCGTCCCATACTAATCGTGTCGAACTTACGTACATCCAGAACGGGTCGATTCGACCGCTACTTAGGGTACTGGAGCAATCTTCCCGAGTAGAATTTTCCCATTTCTACTAAATGGGCTGCTTCGGCTTAGAAAAATTGTCAGTTTGACTTTTCTTGTGCCCTCATGAATACGAGCATAATTGAATTTTTTTGTTGATATCATGCAAATTACATATACGTAATAAAGACAACTTAGGTTGAATGTTCATCCAGAGAGTTCAACGATTCATACGGTTTGCATTTGCAAAATTTATATGCACAGGATACACGATACCTGTCGTCAAGGTTTTGCTAATGCACATTTTTGTTCTCACTTTATTGCAGCGATAAGATTCTTAGTAGACTTTCTTTCATGTTTTGTATAATTCTGCAATCTAGTTTCCTCGATTTTCAGGGATTAACTTCCAAATCGAGTATGCACATTAGCATAACTTTGACGGTAATCCTGTGGTACTGTTAATTTATTCCAAAGTAGTATGTGGGACTTTCACAGCTCAATGATTTTGCGCTTAAACCTAAACCATAAAAGTCAAGTATAAATATATTAGTTGAAATAATTTCTGAATATGTGGTTATGCTCAGTTGTGGCTAGAAATCGCAATTATGTAGTTACGCACATGGTTAACAACAACCCTTCTTATTCACACAGATTACATGAAGATTATCTGGACTAACATTATATTTTTCTTACAGATGAAGCATTGACACGCTTGCCAGAACGCAATCCTTAACAGTCATGCATTAGGTAAGCTCATATTTTCCAAAACTTCTAACTCACTGACACAGCTCCAAAAATAATTAAATTCATGTGTGTAGCATCTGCAAGTATTTAAACCGTAAATCAGCATTTCTGAAGGAATTCATGTTTTGAAGCCGCAGTTATTTTGATGCCGGCACCTGACAGGCCGTACAGATGTTTTTCCAAGTGAATGTTGTTTACCACATTCCAGGAAAACGCCTATTTCCCACTAAGTATTTTGATAGAGCAGTTTACTCTATGAGTGTTGAAAAAAGGATTCAAGATATATTGTATTAAAGTCTCTCGTCTCTCTTTTTTTTTCCACACCGACTGGCGGGAGAGGTATCGTAATCGCGAAAATTTCTAAAAAAAAATATTAAGCTAAATGTTCGAACTGACCTCCTTTTTGGGCTTGATAGTAACCTAACCTATTGTAGCAGCCTGTGCGAACATGCTCTGATATAACACATTGGCAACGCGGCAGATCGCACAACCTTCTGCGTCGCCGTTGCTAGGCACTGCTTTCTAACATGTGTGGATACACACGTCTCGCACTTCTCTCTCGTATATATCACGCAATATTATGTTATTATTTTCATCAGTCTATCTGGCTGTCGCCAAGTGAATGTCTGATAATCCTTGTCACCTCTACACTTTTGATACGTCAGATATTCCTTATATTACATTATCACCAATGAAACCCGACATTTTTTGAACTGACTGCATTTTTTATCCACATTTCGTGTTTGTTCCAGATCTGCATGCAGATTACCGACATAATTATCAAAAGCTATTAAATTGCTATTATTAGGTCTACTACTCAGTAAACAGTACATTTACATTTTCCTATTTTCGGAGGTGTACAGATAAATTCCAGGCACATAGGGTCTTTAGCATTTTCCCTACAGTTCGTAAAAACGTCACGCATGACAGTAACACCCTACTAAACGATTTACCCTATATTTACACGAGAACCTGACGTTCTTCAACCTATTAATTTACCCGCAATTACATCCAGATGCCGGTTTACGCGGAAGATGGAATTCCAAGGCGTACGGGACGAGGTTTGATAGCCTAGTCATCATAGATATCGATTAATTAAAAATAATGTCAAATAGATTGACTCATTCAGATGCAAAGTTCGTCCTTTTGAGAAAACGTTTTTGATATTGCTTAATAGGTTGACCGATTGTCCCTCAAACGTTGAACGAAGATGAGTGGCAGCTGAGGCGGAAACTATACCCGTTAATGCAGATACAAACTAAAAATGGCGAACCTTATCTTTTTACACAGGTTTTTAGGAGCATAATAGATTCTGAAAAAGTTGGCAGGTCATTGGAAGCATATGTTTTGAGACTGCAAACTTTGCAGAATATCGAGAAATTCTTATAATAAAGTGAGAGTGAAATTTTGTATTCCCGTCAAGTACTACGACCAAAATGTCTTGTGCTCAGAGATCATTACCTCTCAAGACATAATTTATTTATTTATTTGTTATTCTATTTATTTATTATCAGCTGCAGCTAATAGTAGGGTGAAACGAATGAGACATACCAAAAAAATGTAAATAATATAAAACGTGGAAAATAAAACGCAGTACATATCAGGAATTCTCCAAATGTAATTTTAACTGATTTGAGCCCCTAACCGGGCTGGAAACTACAAATACCGAAAGAAATTCCGAAAAGAATCTTTTATTTGTTTTGCAGCTACAATATAATATTGTCTCTAGTTGATCTCTAGCTTATCCGAAGAATACGTTAGAGTTGCGAGTGATAAAGATCGAAAGCACTGTGTTTAGGCTATAAATTTCCATAACAGAAATAACTACTAATATTGCTTAAACTATACTGGAAATATCTGCCTTCATTAGGATTGTGCCGTTCTTTGAAAATTATGTAAGAAATCGTCTAACACCACAATTATCTTCAAACACTCGGCTTCTTGAAAAATAACACTAAAAATTCAAATTTAATGACAGGACTGTCAAAATATTGTCAAGCGCACTTGTAGTCACTACAGGCTATGAGAATTAGGAGAAAAAACAAATCCTTCTACCTTGTATATAACAAAATCAGGGTCAGAATAGTTGTGCTCGTGAAGTCCATGTCCTAGCATACCTATGTTGACTGGCCTATGTAAAATGGGGATAGGTGTTCGTTTTCGGAAGCATTAGTCACGTCCGAAATGGGTTGTTCTGATCCTGTGTCCTGCCCCGCCCGGTTTGCCCGGTGCTGCCAGCTCAGATGGTGAGCATATGCTATTTCCGAACTAACTGGGCTCGAGGGTATGCGTAAATTGGACAAGGCATACTGGTGAAATATTCGCAAGATTTGCCTTGGCTAGCTTCCGTTTTATTTTACATTGTAGGATACAACAGCTGTTTTTGACAATGAACGGATAATATGGATGGTGTAAACTAACGGAAAATACAGCAGTTTTTCCTGAAGGTCGTTTCGTGGATTCCAATGTTTTATGGGATCCTCTACACATGATTCTGTGAACATAATAGTTAGTGGCTAATTGCAATGCTCTTTGGAACAGAATTTGTTAGATCTCCCTGATAATCGTCGGATATCCATCGGATTATTTGGACTTCCTTGGAGCTTTTTGTCTCTCCACCGTATATAATCATAACATCTACAATAAAATCAGCGTATTTTCAAAGAAGAATGAATTATGTAGTCGGAACTTCAAACTTTGTTTTTAAAAAACTTTATTTGGTTCCAACAATAATGTACATGGACCGAACCGGAATTACAGTGTGTGTGTTCGCTGTGACTGAGATTGAATGACTGACTCATAATTAAGATATATTAAGATAATTATTATATCAATTAATAAGGTGTTAAATGACAGTAACGTAACTCCTCTACCCTTCAGATGAAGTTTTGGAGGGCACAAACAAAACTTCATGCCTCTGGGGTTGAATTTCGATTTCTTCTAAGTGCTGGCTTCTTCTTGATCCTTTTCTTTTCTGGTAATAACTTTTTCACGAAAATGCATGCAATTCCAATTAACATAATTTCATACAGGGGTAAACTCCCTTTGCAGGGGTGCTTCACTGTTTCGGAAAGATCTACCTGGATTTGATCGGCTCGTTCTTGCAAGTGATGAAGTTTATCTAAGGAAATATTTACTAAAATTCTTTTTTCTTCCTTCAGTCGTACCCGCTCGTCACGGAGGTTCGTGATTCCCAATTAGGGGTTCGGAGTCAATGGCTAATAGGCGAAAATCCATTTGGGAATCCTACTGACTGAATAGTGTACATGGACCGAACTGGAGTTACAGTGTGTGTGTTCGCTGTGACTGAGATTGAATGACTGACTCATAATTAAGATATAATCGTTAATATAAACGAAAAGGGATGAGCTAGTAAAAAGAAATACATTGGTAAATTCTCAGGCACGAAAAGTTCTTCGTGTATTGGCTATTGTGTCCGTACTGCATGTAAAAGTCATACTTCCCGATTTCAAAATTATTACTAAACATGTTTATATATCAACTGTCTCTATTAGACCGGGACCTGTGGGCAAAAATGGGGGGGTCATGTGATGCAACAGGAAACCTACTCAGAACGATAGTACTACATGAAAAAATATCTTCTAGCACTATGCCGTCACTTGACATGTAAGTACAGGGGAAAATTGAATTTTCTGTCCAGAAGAGGTCGAAAAAGTCTAAATAATTTTTACGGCTTTCTTATCACAGATGCCAACAAAATAATCACGATGCACTTAGTGCCGTACGGAAATAATGGTGCCGGAAGCCATAAAAAAATTTTAATTTTCAGGAAATTTTCTATGCGGAAAAATTAATTAATTAACGTACGGCATCGTTACAGTTACCTTTCTGTAATTTTTTACATCTAAAATTTACCAATGCCGTACATATCTGCTGGTACAGGCGTGAGAAAACTCGGGTCGCAACCCCTGCTTTAGACCTCTATGGTGGAAAGTCATCGGAAAATGTACGGCATTCATTTCAATCTCTTGTTTAACATCTAAAATAACTTGACATAATAATGCCGTCTTAAAAATTTAGTTCATATAAATATAAATAAATAATTACCAAAATTTGGGGGTGCAATATCATTTTCTTAGACTAAAATCATAAGATACTATACAGCAATCAATTTTTTTACAAAATTTTACCACGTTGCCGTTTATTACAAATGGAACAACATGTTTTAGGTATCTCTAATGGTTAGTAAATACTGTACGGCATAAACAAAATTGTATTTATAACTATAAATGGTTATGAAAAATTATTATGCCGTTCATTTTACATGGAACATTACGTATAAAACGGTGAAGTTCTGAGAAATATGCAGTTAGAGTGCGATCTTGAGACTCGGTTACTTGCTGAGCGCCTGAAAGTTGAGAACAAGATAATAGAACTTTGCGATGTAAGAGCGGTACATACATGTATTAATGACCTTCTTCTAATAATCGCTAATTACAATATTCAAATATTGTAATTAATGCAATTGCTAATTAGCAAAAGTACAATTTGCAATTGCCTATTAAATAATAGTATTTTTTCATTATAAAAGCTTCACAACAAAGCTTTATTTGTTAAAAGACGGATAATTTTAAATCTTATCAAAAAGTTCGCGTGACTGATTTTACAGAAAATCGTCAGATTTTTATCATTCAAGTTCATTTAAGAATACTAAAATTTACTAATTATTAATTATATATGTTACTCAACAGTGCGAACTTTATTATTTTAATTTGATAGAAAATATCGAGGGGCTACCGACACGATTTAACTGATCTAAATCACCCTCAAATAACAATTAAATCTTAAATCACAATCGAAATTTTAAATATCCTTCAAAAAAATAAAGTAAAACGAGTTATAGAGAGTTTTCGAGGTTATCCACGTGTGGCCATATATTCCACGAAAAATGTACGGCATTATAAAAATTGTCGTTAGTTTATCAAATACTATTAAAATTCTTTAATTTTAAGTTGTATCAATTCACTACCATTATACTATAT